TATTTACATAATCTGAATTAAATGTAAATCAAGCCGTTTCATCTGCCTGCATCAGTCTCCCTGGATTTGAGGGGTTAAAAAGTGTGTGCTCAAAAACAGCACCTCTCAGCATGGGGGGTGGGCACCATTGTTGAGAAATCTGGAGTTAAAGGCCTGGAGCCTCTTCATTTCAGCTTCCTCTGCGTTTTTAAAAATCTAGCCCAGATGCCCCCTTGAAGGAAAAGGGGCATCCAGTTTGTATTTGTGATACAATTCACGTAAATGAGGCAGTTTGGCCTTAATCCTTGCCTAATTAAGTGCCAGTCTGCTGAGGCAGACTGCTAAGGGCCAAAGCGCAATACCTGTCGAATTATGGGAACAGCTGGAGATCAGCAGATCAGCACCACATTATTATCCTGCTCATTTATCGAGAGCCTAAAACAGGGGGACTCTCAACTCCAGTTGGCCGTCTTTATTTCTGTTGCTATTCTTTCCCAATTGGGCTAATAATTTCCTGGAATCTGATGATGGGAAAACAAGAAATTTTGTGGATTATTCACCCAAAAAGCTGTAAGACTAACTGTCTGTAAGCTTTTCTTCCCGCTGCAGCAGCCAGAAAATGGCGATACCTCTGAAATGTTCTGCATTAATTAATAAAAAACCTCATCAAATTAGCATTAAAATAATTATGGAATGAATAATGAATAACACCGAGCTGTTTGCCAAAGGGAATTTAATTAAACAATCAAAATTCTGTGTGTGGTGAAACAGTTCACGGTGATGCTCTGCTTTTCTTCAGTGCTTTGATTTACTGTCAAATATGCAGGAGGTGCTCTAAGATTATACACTTCCAGCTTTGTAAAAATATACTGTAGCATCCAGGAAAAGTGTTATAAGCCAGTGCTGTGACCTACATAGTAGAATTTACAATTCTCCCTCTGTGATCAGCAGCTAATCAAGGCTGCCCTAGTTAGGCAATGTTACTGAGCGCCAGAGTGCAGGCAGTGTTGGCGGGCAAAATTCTGCAAAAGTCTCCTTTACATGAAAAAACCTTTATCAGATAACGCAAACAGTCTGTTGTTCACCACATGTGTTATAAAAAAAATTAATTAAAAAAACATGAACATGTATTTATTTTAATGTGGGGGTTGATCTCCCTTAATTTAGAAAACAGTGCTGCTCTTCGGCGATTCCTTTTAATAATAATTTATGTATGTTTTACCATTAGTGGTAGTGGTACATACCTTAAGTAAGTCTCTTCTATTGCGTTTGGATGTACCGCCACCTGCTGGCCACTTTGAGCTGGTGCTGGTGGATTAATGTCTCATCATAGCCAGTGTAATGGAGCAGTGAGGTATGTAATTAAAGCCTCTAGTTCAACTGCATTTTACAGTAACTTTCTAATAGTTCAATGACTTTTGTGTTGGCATGTAGTTTAAGCAATTTATTAACTTTTTAGTAACTTCGTTTTGTTCGCTAATTTGCTTTGATTGTATAAATTTCTTGTGTTTGCTATTTATTCCTGCTGCCTTACTATTTATATTTTACTCCTGCACACATAACTTTGTTGTACGTGTAAAATTACAATAAAGAGATATTCTATTCTTTTTTCCTACCTACTGAAACTGCACACAATTCTTGGCCATTGCTATTTAAATTTAACTGAACCCTGCAAAAATGTTTCCTTCCTCTGAATTTTATCCCTCTTAAAAATCTCAGGTGGATTGTTTTGAATTAGGGCCTCAATCTTTGAGGAGCTGAAAATCGCCACAAAGATCATCAGCTCATCCATGACTATTTGGGTGTCATTTAGTCTCAAGTGTTGATTGATGGTATTTAACGTTTAGCATATTCAAGGGATAAATATAGATCGGATATTTTGTTGTGTAAACAAGCTGATACATTTTACAGTGAACTGAGTGCGGGACTGTTCTGGAGTACTGAGTATCTGTACAAGTAATAAGTGTTCTGGGAAATTTTAGAAGGACTCATGAGCATATTTGTTATTTCTTTTGGGATTTGTTTGTTTTTTATTAAAAGTTGACATGAAACGTTGGGTGGAACAGCGGTGCAGTAGTTAACACAATGCCTCACCGCAAGAAGGTCCTAGGTTTGAATTCCACTTAGGGACATTTCTGTATGGAGTTTGCATGTTCTCTCTGGGTTCTTTGCACACTCCGTAGACATGCATTGGTTTAGTTTATTGCTTATTCTAAATTGGCCATATGTATGACTATTGTCTCAATCCATGCTTTACCCCAGTTACTGTCTCTCCTAAGATAAGTGAAATAAAATGACAATAGCAGTCAAACTGATACTTTACCAAGGAAAGAAAATGAAAAATGAAGCGTCACAAGTACAATGTTAATTTACTTCATGGTGTTCAATACCTATACAACTATCAGACTGATAGTTGATCTTTAACTAGTGTTAGATATTAACACTCAGATATCTTGGTCCGTATTGACATGATAGCGTCACAAAGTTGCTGCACATTAGTCAGCTGTGCATCTTCTGTTCTACCACGTTACATCTTAGGCCTAGGGGTAACCTGAGCAAGTGCAAATGCTATGCAGCCATTTATCGACTTCAGCAGTGAGCTATGCCAAAATAACAAACAAAAGACCTCTAAAAGGTCCTTAATCTTTCCAAAATAAAAATCAAACAAAAGACAATTTGCTACCTAAATTCCAAAAATAAGAGAAAACTGTTTTTTAACAAATAAGGTTTCTCACTCCTGAAAGGCTGCTGCATTATTTACAAAGGGTCTCATCTAGAACTAATAACACCAGACACACTTATACTCATTAAGAAAGTGTGGGACAAAGGTTTTCACACAGAAACACTCAAGTCTACCATCAGAAACACTAGCTGTGTCCCAATTCAGGGTCTGCACGCT